TAATTTATAAATATATACTATCGGTATATATTTTTTAATATATGCACATTAAAAATGAATATGTTTTAACMGTTATTTAACCTTGTTAAAGCAAGCTTTATAAATTAAAATGATGTATGTATATTTCAAACAATGGTTATGACACTCAGTAATAAGTGATTGTTTTTAAATGTCATAAAGGGCTTAGTTGTATAGTGATAGCAAATATTTCCACTTTTGTCTATGCAATGCAAAGTTTTTTGCCGTTGTTTTTTACTGTCGTAATTTTGTGTCAAATGATATCTGCAGATACACGATGTGTGGTGCATTATTTCGAAACAAAATAAGAACCACATGTTTAATTTCCCTGAATTTCTTGCAGCCTCTTGCGAGTCGCCCGCCCCCRCAACCACAAAAAATCACTTCCTCACAGTATAAATACATTAGAACAAGTCAGGCTCCAGATTTAACAGAAAGTAAAAAGACTATAAACGGTAAGTTGATTATATTCTGCAGATAATTATTAACTTTTGCATTTCATACTTTTTTTTAAGTTTGTCTAATGCCTTTGGACACTAACATTTTCTATATTTTTTAAATGGCTCTTGAAGCTAACCTTAGAGTATTTTTTATGTAGTTTAAAGCAGCCTTTTACAAAGATGCAATTTATTCTTATTTCTGTGGCTACAACTACAAACATGTTCCATTGACAAACACAGAATTTTATTTTTCCTCAACTAATTTATTCCTAAACAATATTTACCTGATTCTTGGGATCATGTTGGGCTTTTATTATTCCTATTAATATTTTGTTTAGACCTAAAACRTTTTTTTGTCTCCAGTTTTCTTACTTCAAAACTCTTTAATGCAGAAATGCTTGTCTGTTTTCTTTGCCTTTTCACATAAAAAATAACAAGAGCAAGTTAGATTATTGATACACATGCTGCCAGTGAAAAGTTTTCATTTGTCAATTTATCTGCTGCATGTGGACAGAAATAAGGTTTTTATATCTAAATGATTCATAGTTCTGAGAGTTTATCAGCAAACAAAATAAAATGATTACCTATGGTCAGGATTATATCTGGACTGTAATTAAAAGCTTAAAATACATGTAAGCTTTAATAATAAGAAAAGAGACTAATGATGTCCTTTATGTTGAAAAAAGTCAAGTTTAATTTCTGACAGTTTTGTTCAGTTGCTCGAGAGATGTTTGGTTAACATACAAGACTGATTCCGGCAGTCAGCGCCAAAAAATTGAGGAAAAATATTTAATATGTTGCAAGTATYAAATTTTATCTTAATATCTGTAAAACTGACCAAGGTAAAGCCTTTACTGTGTGGGCCATGGTTGATTAGTTTAACTCCATAAGTCAATCAGTGGTAGACCCAAAGATTACTCTCTGAAAGTTTAAATAAAATCTATCCAGTAGTTGAGATATTTTGCTGACAGAGCTGGTTAATAG